TAATTGTTAATTAGCCGTCCACTTTTTGTACTCAATGTTTTGTCAAATTACGAGAGTTTCTGCTAAAATGATGAGTTCTGTTTATGTTTTGAATGAAGAAATCACTGACGGTAACCGTCATATTTCAAGAGTATGCTTAATGAGGCGACTTAAGTTAAACTAACAACCGAGATTCTATCGAGAGCTGTACCTTGTTTCTTTTCGTCATACTGTTTCTCTATACTGTGACGTCGGTAGTTTCTTTGGATCATGACACAAGCTTTGTTGATATGTTCATTCTTTATGTTCTCTAGATCATGAAGCTAAATATAAGAGAAGAACAATTAACTCTTAAGTGGCGCACATGATTTTTCTTAATGTTCTAACGATAAGGGTCAATGACTACCAAAATAGATCAATCAGGAAGTAATATATTTGATGAGAATAGAGCAATTTTTGACTGAGAGTCGCAAAACTAAAACCAAAGTAATCACAAGAGCCAATCAGAAGAAAGGAAAATACCTTTCAGAGCAAATGATAACTCAAAGTAAAAACAACCAAACTGCCTAAAGCGCGAGAAAACGCGGGCAACCAACTCGTGATCGCTTCGATTTTGCATCCGATTAGTTGAGAAAGTGGCACAAATTTCCTGGACCAATCACAGGGCGAAGTGAAGCAAAATCAAAGCAATCCCGGATTACTTTCGACACTTAATTGAAATTGCTTTAAGGCGTTCCCAGCCGTGTTCTTACCGCATCGGGTTCTTTAAGGAACACTTTTGTTTTTCCAATTATCCATTTTCCAGAATCAAATCCAGCGGCTTTTAGTATAAAGCGACAGGCCTCAGCCCGGTCACCTGACCAGCCATGTTTGGTTTCTGGAGCAATTATTCCAAACCTATTATATTTGCATTTCACAGAAAAAACTAAGTTAAACCAGTTTTCAATGGTTACAATAAAGCAATACTTTCTTGTGGATGTTCATCGATAGATATTTTATCCACTTGAACTACTTTGAACAACTCTGTGGCACTTGAAAATAAAATAATAGTATTTTTTAGTCAGGAGTGATTATACGGTTGAATCCCAACAATTAATTGGCGAACCTGGTATATTCATAAAATGGATATAGAATCATTGGTGGAATCGTTTTTCTTTTCTCGCTTACCTTCTCAAGATACATTCAAAATGTCTGCGGATTGCAAATCCTGTTTTTCGGATTGTAATGCTTTCTTTGAATCCAAGATAACGTATCTGATTAATAACCCTACGAGGGAAAAATGATTGACTTGTTTAGAAAGAATGATGATGTAAAAGTTTACCAATCGAATTTATAGACCATAGCTTCCTAACGTAAGATTTATCAGGAAATACTTGACAATTTCCGCGTAATTACCCTATTTTACCGAAGTCTTTCTGCTTCGCTCTTGATAAGTATAAAACCTGAAATGAGTGCATTCTAAAGAAATTTTCAGACGCTATTCCTCTGGCAAGTCCAATCGTTTAGTTCAGAAGTAGATTTGAAGGTTTATATGTCACGTACTTTTGTTGGTTCCAGGCCAGTGGTGCTTTCCGTTCCGATGGTTTGATACATCTAACGTAATGTGGACTACAGGCCATAATCTTGCCAATCACACCGTTTGTCTGGAACTGTATATGAAACAAAATAATCTTATTTTCTGCGTTGGGATTAGGGACAAGTTTTTGGATAGGGGCAAAATTAGCAGTAATAGAGCATCTCGCAGCTAAAATTGTAAAAGAAGTAGTTTGAAATTGCCGACAGGAAAAAAATAAAGATTTATATAAATTCTTAGTTTGGTTTTGCTTGCTGACCTTTATCTTAGCAGAGCTGGTGTTTGTCTTTTGTCCCCCTTGCCCTCCGGCATAAATTGTTTCAGGAAACAAGTCTTTGACAAATGAACTACGAAAAAACAACAAAGAACCAGTTTCCGACGTAAGTATTACAGAGTGCTGATATGAAACTAATTAAGACTCGAAATTTTGAAGGTTCTATTCTTTTTTATCAATCTCTGTTCTTTTTTTGTCATTCAAAGGGCACTCACTTTTGCTTGAAAAAAAAAAAAAACTCTTGAGACTGCGAATTTACGTTGTAAGTTCAATTTCAGATACCGTGAAGCAAAGATAGCAACAGTGACAATATTCTGAAGCCTGTTGTCCATAAATTTTAGAATGAATTCAATATTTGTTACTTTCTTTCATTACTTGTCGGTGTAAGTAACATGGTGTAAGCAAGTTTGAGGTTCCTTTCACGTTACGGTCAAATTACAAACAGCG